CTTGGCAAAAATATCTGGATTTTTTCATTCCTTGATTTTGCAAGATCAGGAATAATATCATAACCTTTATTCATTTTACAGATATTTTACACATAATGTTGGGTGTCAGCTATAAAATATTTACCAGGTAAGAGTTTTAACTTTGAACATTGCCAGTAGCTGTCAAATTTTTAGTTTGATGCCAATTCTTCATCATCATCATCATCAATATATTACTGTGGGTTAAATCTGAAATATATAAGATGCTACACCTTGTGCTAATGTTATTATTGTATTATTTTATTAATAATCAACACAGACATTCTGAAGAATTTGGAAACTGACATGAATGATTATTATTTTCTGTCTTCAGGACAGAGTTAAAAATACCATAACTGTAAGTGAAAATTATAATACTAATGGGTGTGTGCTTACAGGGAAGAAAAAGCAGTGATATATAAAAGAAAATGCAAAACAGATTAATTTTTCATGTTCCACAAATCTTAGAACATAATGGTTGCTAGTGAATCATTTTGAAATATGGTGAATTTTCATATTTATAGAGTTGCTCAAGGAAATCCCTACTGTTATGGAACACAAAGGTTCACCACTGTCATACAAAAACCTGCCATTGGACCCTATCCAGAATAAAATTGATCTTGATGTTCATAATATGAACTTAAAGATATTGCAGATACAAATCTATTGTCACACAGCCTAATCACATTACAGATATCACTGAAGAGACAGTACTTATGTTTCCTTTATTTAATTAAGTATTCATCATATAAAAATTCTTCAAATGTAGTTATGGATCTTAATGATGTCTGTATTTTATGTCATGATCCACTTTCTTTAGCAGCAAATTTATTTTTTAAAAATCACCGCAATTCAAGTTACATGTGGTGTTTGACAACTATTACTGTAGACTTCTCTACAAAATTGAATCTGAATTCAGTTTGTAATTTTGCAGAGGATGTGCTATGTGCCTGTATGTGTCCATTTTGTGGAAGGAACACATACTAATAATTAGATGTAACATTTTAAAAGTAAAATCAACCAAAGGATTGGATAGAAGCAAAACAAAAATTTCAACATTATGTGTGAAATTACACATTACATTGCTTCTTCACCCAGCATAGGGTGTTTAAATCCCTGAACTAAAAGGCTGTCAGATGAACTACAAGATTTAATGGTACAGCAGTATGCTAACACAATGTGTGGCCAGTTGGATTGTGTGTAAATAATAACACATGTTTAATTAAGGCTCTTAATGGACTTTTATCTTCACAGATTAATGGTGATGAAAGGAAGATAAATGGCATAGAGAGTGGAAGGCATCTCTGTATTAAGGAAAATTAAAAATAATCCACTGAAAATCATCTGTGGTTTGTGCATATTAGGACTGTCTGGTGACAGCATTTGTATATGTATAGGACATCATTTGGTCAAGGTACCCAAATTAAAGGAAGAATCAGTAATGAGGTCTCTAGTAAAAGATTTTGGGATAGATGGCACAACAGATAAATTTTTGCAGTAAAATTTGTGAATATCAGTAGGTGAGTTATAATGAGTGGGAATTGCTCTTTTTGTTTCAGGAGGATCATGAAGCTTCCTCTTGTAACATTATTCTTAAATGTGACAATTTATTCTTTGACTACAAATAGTCTGTCATATTCTGAGTCAACTTTTCAGATTAAATGACTTTGTATCCTGTAATTAATTGGGATTTGAATTTAAACACTCTTTAGAAAACAGTTATGGGCACAATAAATGGATCTACACATACTAGGACAAATATTTACTAAATATTTATTTTCCATTAGCATTACTTGTTATATATAAATAACAGTAAAAATATATTATTATAAGATTAATGAACGTATTTGAAATCTGAAGCTACAGAAAAGTGATTTAAGTTGTTTTCCTACAAGCAACAAAGGTCATCTGCATATAGTTGCAAATGGTAAGACAAGCCATGAGCTGAAATTATAAATTGAAAATTGTAATTAGTTACAACAAATAGACAATCTATAGATCTTCAGGAAAATATCAGAACATACAAATTAATTTTAAAATAACTATTTGTATTCTGAGGTTAAAAGAAATGAATGGTATCAAAGTCCTGCCATCTTACCTAGTTAGCCAATGAAAGAACACACACAGTACTTAACAAAGTAACTGATTTATATGAATCAATTTTAAAACGTTCTGCTTATGTGATTCTGGTACATACCTGAACACAGCCTTAAGTTTCCTGTTGCTTCCACTGAGGAATATTCACTTACAGATAGGTATTATAATATCTTACGATGTAAATGGATTTTCACTATTCAACTAATTACTGTCTTCATGACATCACTGAGTGTTTTCACTGTGCATTTCCTATTAGGGTATTATTTTATCCAGATGCAGTAATTATTCTTTGTTGGTCAGTAGAACAGACAGTAAGATATTCATAGATGAAATCGCTCACAGATTCCATGTGTTTTCTTCATAAAGACTTTTTGGCATCCTTAGAGCTGAAGCTGTTGACTGTTATGGTAGTATCCAGAGTTTCACACTCATAAAGAGCCCATAATTACCAAACATATTGTGTAAGAGTGCTGGTATGTGCAAACAGATTTTGTCTTCCTGTTCATTGCAGTGTGGTAGGAAACTATGTCCCAAAAATAATTAAGGACTACACAGATTGGTTCACTTGATTGACAACCAGCCAAACAGATTCAGAAAACTTCAAGCAGCCTTTTAAACATTATTACTTATTAGATATTTTATGTTTCATTAAAAATATCTAAGTACATGTAAATAAAATCTGGTGGTCTCAAACTATTCTTCCCTGTTGATAGATCCTGCAATGTCATTCAGAAATCTGACACTCTTCAGTTTATTACTGATTTTATACAAATTTAAGAAAAGAAAGCTGGACATGAAGAAATGTCAACATGAAATTACATCCATGTGACTTCTTTTAGTAGCTGACTGAGACATGACTGACATTTTACACTGAATTTAAGCAAACTTTACGATAAAGGAAGGTATATGTAAGAATACGGATCCATTGATATAAAAACAGGACAAGTTGTGAAGCAAGAGTCAAGGATTTTCCCACATGTCTCTTCAATGTAATTATATATTGTGACACACACAAAGTGAAAACATCTTAGGAAGAAGAAAAGTAATTATATATTAAATATAAGGGTTCAAGAATCCTTGTTTTTGTTACTATTAAATACTATAGCTGCCTATGTGCCAGCAAGTTTCAAGGTTAAATATCCTATTAGTAATTACAAACTCATATCATGACTGATTGATGGTTTATTCTTATGTGATATTAATTGCTGATGAGATGCATTTTGGGTAAAACATCATTTTTCATATTTGTCTGCTGTTACGGGAATGTAATTTCAAACAGCATTTATACTGAACCTTTATTTTAAAAGTACTTGAGAACTTGGAATATGTAATTCTTTATTTGCATATTAAAATTCACTCACAAATTAGATCTTATGTGTTTCACAGCATTCATGTTGAAGAAGTTAGTCTGCAAGAAAGTTGTGCCTTTTGACAAGAGTTGATCTAGATTTGAGGTTCTGACAACAGTGAGGATATTGATGTTCCTCTGGGTTTGCAAATTCACAGGTATGAAGCCCTAAAGGTGGAGGAGATAATATGTTTATCTGAAACATTGGTATCTACCTGTGAATCTACATGGGAATCCAGAACATCAACAGCTGATCCAGTCCAAAGCTTGATGGTGCTTGCATTTTGTTTTATGTCAGACTGATTATAATATAGTTATATGCACTTTATAGGGACTGATTCAACCTTCTGATCACGTTCATATTTATAGTTCAAATTATTCTTGAAATTTAGGTCCTGTCCATTCAACAAAAAGTGAAACTGATGTTGAACCATCAAACAGTCAAAACTAACATATTTAAGAATTCATTTATTTCAGTATTTACTTAATTTCTTAGGTTATCTGATAAAATTAAACCAGTGACATAATTCCTAATCTATGTTACATGTGCCATTAACTGTTGCATCACAATATACTACCAACTGAGCATTCATATTTCTATTATCTCGTTCCTCTGAGTTATTTTTTAATATACTCAACCTGGAAAAGCACAAAAAGATGAGAGCTGTGATCATTAAACACTAATGTACTGTCCTCTCTAAACAAGCTCTTTATGCAAGAGCTAATATAAAATGTTGGAAATGAGATTTTTGTATTAAGAAATATATAAATATATCTTCTTTATAAAACAGAATGAATTGGTCTAGTCTTTGTTTTCAGATGTACCCCTGTCCAAGTCTTCAGTTCAGTACTCTCCTTTAAGGTGGAAAATTGTACACATAATCCATATGAGAGCATACTAGCATTTCAGAGGCATTCTTTTTATAATAATTATAATGTTCATCATATGCTTTGCAAAGGTAGAAAGTAGAACCTTACTGTAAACATTTTTGACATGAGTTTGAAGTTTGATGGTGATACATTTTGTTCTAAGTCAAATTATCATGTAGTTATATGCATTTTATAGGTAATGACTCAACCTTCTAATCTTGTTCATATTAATCTTGAAACTGATGTGACTGTATGTTGATCAAGGTGATAACAGTTATCCACTTTGAAACCTCGTACATACTGTGCTGTCCTGTGTTACATATGTATGCAACAATTCTGGTATGTGTAAGGGAGATGCATGTCTTGGCATGAATGAGCAGACTCCAGCCTACATGCCACAGTGCTGCTATATCATTTTCTGTCACATATAACCACTTTATTCAGTGACATTTGTTATCATACTCACTGCAAAATTTCATTTTTGGAAAAAATAAAATAAGTTGGGAATTAATGTGGTCTGGTCCTAAATTAGTTTAATAATATCATATAAGTATTATGTGTACCAATAACAACAACACACACAAATAGGGAAAACCTAAAATTTTGTTGTGTATTCTTCATAGTATTTTCCCTGAGTTGTGCCATCAGTGGCACCACTTTGATTACAAAACATTCTGACAGAATTTCAAAACAAACACATGAAAAGGATATATAATAGGTTGGGTTTTGAATGGTTCAGTAAAGGAAACAACACGGGGAATTAAAAGTTAATATCCTTTTTGTAGGAAAGTTGAATTATTGTGAGAGAAGTTCCTTTCTGCACAATAACCAACTATTGGTGGTAATTTTCTTGGTAGGTCAATTATGTTTTTGATCAGTGTGCGAAAAACCTAATTTCACAAAAGTATATTTTGGTAAAGAGAAAAGTTTGTTCACCACACATATTATGTAGGGAATTTTGAGTAAGACTGCCTTTATCTTAATGAAGAAAAAACACCTGAAACATTGTAAGATTTGAGGTTTTCACAGCGGTGAGTATGAAGATTTCTGTCTTCTGGGTTGTTGCGTTGTGTAGTCTGGTCAATGTTAACCAACGTTTCAGAGGTCATACTGCCTCCGTCATCAGGGCATCGACCAGACTACACAGCGCAACAACCCAGAAGACAGAAATCTTCACCTGAAACATTATTTGCATGTCTGAGAAGGATGTGATAATTATTCATTAACAGAACATGAGATCTAAGAGGAAACAGGTTATACTGAAACACCAAAATTTAATTTAGGAACATATTTATTATAGGTATTTTTCAAAGTCTTTTCATATAATGTTTAATCACGCAGAATACCATATTAACTTGGTAACATGTATACCTATAGTTTAAACAGTTACATAAAGAACATTTATTTTGGTACACAGATTCTAAAATTACTAACTGGACGGAGTTTCCACAGGGCTTCCATATTAGATGCCACAACAATGAAATGGCTAATGCACACCAAGTAAATGCGTAAATATTTTGGTGAAATATTAACAAAAACTTAACATCACAAAAATAGTGAGTATGACAAGATAAACTGACTAGTACAGTAATCAGTAATGCAGAACTCAACTTCTATCTTCAAAAGATGATTCACATTGCTGTCCAATGCAGAGAGTTTCATAGTGCATTTATATAGTTTAAATAATTTTTTACTTTTTTAGTGCATACTACATTGTATGTCCTAAAAATTGCAAGACTGAATTAAAAGATCCAATATGAGTTACCTGAAATTGGAGCTGTTAATTTAACTTCTCAAGAAGAAAACTGCTCCTATCTGGATCCATTTATCCTGGTCTCCAGCACACGGGACATCCAAACTTACCACAAATTGCTCTCTGCTAGCAGTATAGTACAGTGGTAAGTGAATCACCTCTCCATGTTGGTAAACCTGTGCACTTCCCTGTACAACACATTGCAGATATGTCAGCCTTCATGAATAAAGGATCAAAAGTGATCAGCTTATTTCAAAGGTCTAAATCAAAATTTAAATGTTTTAAGTCTACTTACAATTCAAAGGAAACATATTAACAACAGTCAAAACAAGCTCTGAAAGTTGAACGTGGACTCAACAAACATTTTCATTCTATAACAGCAACATATATTCGTGGTGTAAAGTACAATATCACCAATTAGATCCAAAATTGTGTTGAATGACAAAGCAACTGAACAAATCAGAACATTTAAATACCTAAAATATAACATCATTGTGACTTTATTATCAAACTAAGTACTTTTTAATTTCTGTCTGGTACATTAGAAAAAGAGCTAGCTGGTAGAGCAAGAACAGAGATTCTCTTCAAATTTTATTAAGTACTGACTATACCAACAGTGCTGCAGATCAGAGTGCTGGACTCAAGATAAACAACATGGTAACTGAACTGAAACAGCTGAAATATGGTTCCTACGAACTGTTGCAGGTTGAAGGATAATAGGAAATGAAAACCAAAGCAATCAGACAAGAAATAGAACTTATTTAACATATCGTAAAAAAATAGCTGAATATCATCAAATTGGTTCCTCCACATGAAAAGAAAGGATGAATATAAATTTTCTAAAAGATTTCACCACGTAGGAGAAGAAGTGCGCAGTTATATAGTCTGTAACTTAAATAGCAAAGGAAGTGGTAGAATAATGTGCAGAAAAAAGAAATGTGTTTTCATGTATAAATCAATTATATCTTCAGAGCATGGAGGTCTGGTAGTTTATAGATTATTGAACGATATACATTACAATGTGAAATATTATATACCCATATGAAATGGTTTTCTTGACTGCTGTATAGTATCGTAACTCACGTACCTGTGGCATCCAGGCAATTGTACATGGTGGTGCCAATGTAATGCTAGGTGAGTCAGCTCCATTTGGCAGCAAGCGCAAACCATCAAATGAGGCTCCTTCCAACTGTAAGGCTATCAGTGTGACAGGCAGATGAGCACCAGGCAGTCCACTCTTACTCCAACTGCATGCTAACTGAAGCTCATCCAAGGCCAGTCCATAATCTCTACACATACAGTAGGCAAAAACAGAACTGATGACTGTAATTGCAATAACAATTAAATTAAGTACATTCATGTAGTGGTAATGATTTAGATCTGCATTTTGGAAGTACTTGCCCCAAATCTTGGCAACATTGCCAAATATTCTGACAGACTTTTTTTTCAGTCCCATCAGATGAATGCTGAACCCCCCCCCAAAAAAAAAAACCACAGCTACCTCCCTCCAAAAATTTACTGACTCACCATTCATGATCATCTTTCCATCTTACTTAATGTCATACATCAGTAAACTGTACACTTCATACTCTGTTATTAAGTACTATTAAAACATAATGAATAACATCAAAATGAGTGTACTAAACATGAAGTCTGCTTTCTAGACAAAAAGGAATGTGGATGGTATTGTGTAATTGTACCAGCCCATTGCATTGCAAGTGTTCCCTCACAGAAAGTTTCTTTTCAGTTTTGAGCCCAAACAAGTGCACAAACTGTTACTGTTTATATATATATATAAACCAGCTGAACTGATTTTCCTGAAACTTAATATTTATGACCCAAATGAAATTATCTTATTTGCCTGTAATAGGTTACTTTGAATACAACTTTACACAAAAACCCCAAAATATGACTCTTGGAAACAGTTTATATGCATATCAACATATTTTTGTCTCACCTTGCTGTTTGCTGCTTAAGAGAACTAAGAAAAGTATCTGGGTGAAAGAGATCTGAAAGATCAACAGGTTCCCTTAGTAGAGAACCCTGGCTTGCTCGCTGATTCCAGCGCTGGACAGCCAGAGCTCGGGCCATCAAACTTCGAAGATACAACATGGGGTCACCAGGACCTTCCCACATTTTCTGCCACATGTCTGGAGTCTACAGATAGATAAATATACAGAATTACACAACTCTCATTACGATTTACCCTTATCGTGGCCTTCCTCTGTACTGGCAGTACTGTGATATAGGCTATTGTATCCATATAAATATTTTTTGATTCAGATAAGAAGAAAGCTTTGAGCTTTACAAGAAAATGGACCAATACAAAATAACTTAAAGAACAAAACCTTTGCCTATGCTGCATGATGCTTAGGTTCCCGGCAAAAGATTGTAGAAATAATCATGACAGTAAGATATGACACTAACTGTGTGATATCTAAATAGTACAAATCTCATTAGAAAGTAGACAGCATACCTATGACTAGGCAAGCATCACATTCAGGACTAACAACACAAATGAAAATAAATGACAGTGATAACATTTTGTGAATAACTCTGAATTTAAACAGATATATAATGGCATTTACATCCCTATTCTGTGATTAAAAATTACAAGTACTGTAATCTCGTATCGATGTGTGAAACTTGGTCCCTTACTCTAAGGATGTTTGAGACCAAAGTGCTGAGAGAAATATCTATATCTAAGAAAAAGTAAGTAATAGCAAGATGGAGAATTTTAAATAATGTGGAACTTCATAGTATGTGCACCTACCCTTTACCTAATATTCTTAGAGTGGTTAAATTAAGGATTATGAGATGGATGAGACATGTAGCATACATGGAGGAAATTAAAAATCAAACATAATTATCATCAGAATACAACAAGGGAGGAAGAAACTTGGGAGAGCTAGACATAGATGGAAGAATAATGCAGAAATGAGCCTTAGGCAGAGAGAATGTGAGTGTGTGTGGACAGAATAGAATCCAATGATGAAATTAAAAAAAGATATAGAAATGAAGGATCAAATGCAACTTATGGCTGCATAACTAACTTGGGATGAGGATAATGACAGACCTGTTGGTTTATAATGGAGTCAGCCAATTGTACCATGTCACTGCTAGGAAGTATAGTACCACGAATCACTTTGCTGAGGGTGACCAAGGACTTGTGAATTTGCTGCACTAAAAGCACAGCATTGTGATATTCCAGAGTTACAAACAGCACTACTGGGGATGCTCCCTGACCACTTCTCTCTTCTGATCCTTCCACTATCTGTGGCACTTTCATCTGAATCAAACCTGAACCCTGAATACAAATATTACCATTAATATAGAAAACACTATATGTAAAATTAGTATAACTGTTCATAAATGTAGATTCTGATTATATAAAAAAAATTCTTGTAACCAAATTCAGCATGCTTAAAATCAATAAATTTCTTTCAAGAGCACTTAGAGCATTTGGATTTCATCAATAAATTTAGATGAATTAAAGCAAATAAAAAGCAGACCCAGATTAACAATGACTGTCTTCTGGGATGTTATGCCATGTGGTCTCATGGAAATTGACTGACATTTGAGGTGCTTACTGCCACCAACATCACTAAGGTGCAGTAAGGACCTACAAAATGTCAGCCAATTTCCACGAGACTACACGACACAACATCCTAGAAGACAGTTAACATACTCAGTACTATGAAAACCAGAAATCCCACAGGCTGAGATTGTTGACTCTGTTTCGATTAGTCCACACTGAAAATCTGTAATCTTAGTAAAGCTTCATTACAGGATGATAAAACAGAGTGCTGCAATGAGATTAATATAGAAAATACATACCTGATTCAGCTTTTTCCACAGATTTAGAACAGGTGTAAGCTGAAGCTGCCATTCCTCTCTATTAAATTTATTGACTCCCTCAACAGATCTCATCAGTGCTGCAGTATAAAGGCAAAAAATTTGCTAAAAGGTCTTACAAATGTAATCTCATAATACACCTCCAGGTATATGAACATAAATTAATTATTATCATACATTCTGAGGATTTCGAGTATCATTGGTAATAACACACAAAACCAAAAATCTGAGAAGTAATATGATTTCTGACAACACAAATAAATTCCTTCATATCAGATTGTAAAGTTTTTACTTCCACAAGCAATCAATTTCAAGAAACTCAGAGCAAGGAATGAATTTAAACATAATTCCACTACATTATGCATATTGCACTTTTGCAAAAGAAAGTCTGTAGACTTACTTTTAAGCTGGTTAATAACTTCATGGCTTGTGATCCGCTGCCAAGAACGTTCCACATTAGCTGGCAATCCAAAGTATGCTGGCTTATCATTATCTGATAACTGCTGAATAGCACTGATATGTGCCTGTATTGAAAAGGTCTGATTATTAATTCGGTTTAGTTCACTGGGTTTCAACAATTACACAAGGATAACAAGCTCAATTCTGGGTAACAACATAGTTAAGAAGGATGTAGTTTCAACGTTACATTGAACATGTTTACTGCTTATTCATCTATTTAATATAGTGTGGACAGATTAAGTTCATAATTCAGTTTCTTTATTTTGGCTTCAGAAAATTTACTTACTGGAAATATTGTATCTTATAACAGACATTATTAATGGCCCAAAAACGTTTGACATATGTAACAGAGAACATAACATCCAACTCATATGAAAAACATGTGCCGTAGCAAATGTCCTTTCTTTCTTTGCTCTCAGATTATCATATTGCTTATATAATGTACAAAAGTCATGTAACAATCTGAGGAAAACCTGGTTAAATAAAATAATAACACAATTCAAGATTGAAACTAAATCATAATTTTAACACAGTGAACATCATTATTTTCAAGCCTAATGACAACTTAGTAATAACACAAACTGTATTTCCTATTCAACATACCTTATAACTGGCTGTAGTAGGGATATTAATTCCAGGTCCTAATGACTTTCTTGCATCAACAAGGACAGCTGAACTGAAAAACTCCCTGAGATAAGAGGACAGGACTCTGATATCATAGGCATTGTCCACTCGGCCACCATAGATTGCATTCTCACATAAGCCATGTACAAATTCCCATTTGATGTTACCAGAACCTGATAATAACATTAAACAATTTATTTGATTACTGCACCTGCACTCCCCTATATATATTTATGGTGTAGTACTTAAGTAAGCATCAGGGACAACTTTACACTTTATATCAACCTCATAAAAACAAGACTTAGATACCAATTGCTCAGGTCTGTGTATTTCAATCTGCCAAACATCACTAACACCATGTATTTACATATTAAGACATTCAATAGCTAGCACCTACTCAAAATAGTATGGGAATCTGCAAGATCACTGTTCTCATCATTTACCACCTTAGTTCTAAGTTGGAGAATGTCCCTTTGTCAGTTGCCTGTGGTTGTTTATTGAATATATTCATAGTAACCTGTCGTATCTGGAGGTTTTCTCTCCAATCTGCAACCTGAGGACATATCACGCCACAGTGACAAGGGTCCATTTAACATGAAGAGCATTAATAATAAAAAATAATGTAACAAGTAATATTAATAACAAATGCTATTGCTGCTACTGCTGCTGCTACTACACTACTACTACTACTACTACAAACAATAACAACAATGCTCTGGTATCAGAACCTGAAATGTTCAACACCACTATTACCAATCCCAAAACAAACCCATGTCAGATCTATCCACCTACTGCCTTCTTCATGGTTTACCATGTGGCAGCTTTTCTAGAAGTTTCCTTACCAAAATCCTATATGAATTACTTATGTTCCCATCATAGCTACATGCCCAACCCACCATAGGTGCTACATTTCATTATTCTAATACTACTATGAAATCTGATAACAAGAGCAATGATGATGATGATGATGATGATAACAGTTTTGAGCCAACAAGTATTCAGAAAGTAACCTTTCTTGAAGAGCTGTTGAAGAACTTCAGCTGCTGCTCGCAGATCAGCATCGCTGAACTCATAGAATTTAGCCCAACCTTGCGGGATAAATGTTCGTCTCTCCTGAACCACTGCATGGAACCAGGCAAGAGCAAATAATGCTTTCGCCCTGTTCTCTCCCTGACCACTGCCATTGATGAACTCTGGTCCCCATGATGCATATGTGCGCTGCAGATTTTTCTTCACACCTTGAGGTGACTGAAACCAATGTCATTAAGTCAGAGTTCATGTAATGTGATTTGATTTACACATTTTTGTTGAAATACCTGATGGCAGGGGACAAAATATGAAACAGGGAGGAAGCAGATGTGGTCCCACAGACTAGTGACTCTGAACCTTTCATGATTAATGATCTACATTACAAGTTGCAAGGTTAATTTAATTTTGGTTTATCAGTCCTAACATGCATGAATCTTAAATTGAACTTCTGTTTTCTTAAAAATGACTCATTATATAAATAATTTGTATATTTAGTTTCCCTGTTCATTTATTTCATGATATTTCTTAATTTCAAAGCTCACATCTGAATGTGTATTTTTATATCTGCAATACATCTAGGATTAAAAGAAAGATTTGCAATAAATAAACATCACAGCCAATAAAGAGCACAAAACAGCAAAGAACACATTTGAAAAATAAGTGTTCTCAAGTCATACACAATTTTTCACTCTTGTTTCTGTACATTGTTATCTTCCCATCAGGGTCTAAATGGCCACTGCTCTGAGAGGATTACTATGTTAAACATGTCACTTGTATAGAATTATAGTTACATTAGATTTTTCAAGATACAACATTAATGCATTTATTCAATATAATACCTCATAAGTTACTTTAAGACATGACTTGGCAAGAATAGCTGAAAATTTTGGATGAGCCTCAGCAGTAAACCATAAGCGGAAGTTTTCATGTGGCTGCAGGGACTTAAGTTCTTTCTCAAGAGCTGGCAGCCAGTATGTCATCAGGTGCAGGTTTTTAAGACACAGCCAGTCACCCTGTCGAGCAGCAGTACTCAGCTTATCCAAAGCCATTGTCACCTGGCCTTGACCCATTGCCACCTATACAAAAGAATAAAGTAAGTGTGGTGAAACAATAAAGGAATAAATTCTTAGTCATTATCACCTGCACATCACAGTTTACATGTGATCAAGCTGACTTGCATTGCACTAGCATACTGCAAAACCTTTAATCCCAGAGTCATCGTTCACTGGCAGCCCTTTAGCAAGATGGTTTAAAGCCTTTATTCATATATGATTGTTTTAGAAAATTTCGTAATGATAAGCTTAAAAATTTGTATTCCTCCCCCAATATTTTCAGGGTGATTAAGTCAAGAAGAATGAGATGGGCAGGGCATGTGGCAAGCATGGGTGAGGCAAGAGGTGTGCACCAGATATTGGTCGGGAAACCTGAGGGGAAGAGATCGCTGGAGAGACCTAGACATAGATGGGAGGATAATCTCAGGTGGAATCTAAGGGAGATAGGAGTTGAAGGAGGCTGGATTTTGTTGGCACAGGACAGTGTCCGGTGAAGGGCTTTGGTTAATTCGGTGATGAACCTTTGGGTTCCGTAAGCCATCTAGTTAGTTAGTTATTCCTAAATGATTAAGGTTAAATATGTGATTTATTCAAATGTTATGGTACAGAAATAAATGCAATAACATTGTGGCAGGTAAGTTGCAGTCTGCTCATGCATATCAAGACACACATACTTCCTATACACAGTTAACAGAATTTCTCAGTTACTAGATGGTGGGATAGAACCCAGAGGAGTGTGCAGTGCATGGAAGATTTTAAAGTGTGGAAACTATTCAGTATGACCAGTAAGGTAAAACATTCTGACAGTAACTGTAAAACATTTTTAAAATTTGTAATGTGACCAAAATTTATTAATTTAATTATTCAGAATCCGAATGAACCTCATGATAGTGTTGATCCCCAACTGTGGTATGGGCAAGAGCACACAGTTCCTCTGATGGGTCAGCTCCTGGAGAGATGATGAGAAGAATTGGCTCTGTTGCAAGAGTCTCAAATAACAACTGCTTCAGACTAAGTGCTGGTGGAGAAAGATCTTGCAAACCTATAATAAAAAATATACATATCAATGTGTTTTCTTTAAGTGTATTCATGATAATATCTGGCAAAGGAAATTTACTATAAATCTGGCTGACAAAATATTCATTAATGACAGGTGAAAAAGGAAGCAAGACCAATGCACAGAAAGAGAATCAACAATATAAGTTCAGTGATAAAGTTACAATTACATATTTGCTTCTTTTTATCAGTGTCACTTTCACTTGACTGACATCAACATCTTCACTACTGTGAGAACCTCAGATCACAAAATTACAGAAAATAGATATATGTAAGTCTAGACTGGATTCATGTTGAAGTACCTCAATTGAAACCTACATCTTAAATCCCTCAGTAACAAAGACCTCCTGATGGGATACACACACAAAACAAAGCCTATACAACAAAGTAAAAAATTTGGTCACATGAATTTTTCTGTATGAAGGGTTTATCACAAACATGCTGCATTATATTGTCCATATTTTTTTATTAATTTGGTTTATTTTTACCTTTAAAATTCACAAATAACTGCAGGAGAAAGTTAAAATAACAATAAAAAAACAATCTTCCACAGATAAACAAACGCAGAAAAGGAGATGTAAATTTTAATTTAGACTTGGATATAACCTCAATACAAAAGTGTATGTCCAAACATATGACAAATGCAAATAAAATCTATTGGCAGAAAATACAAATAAAATATCTGAATTTGCAGTTGAAAGACTAGCAGTGTACAACACTCAATGGTCAACATTAATGTGTACCTAGAGTCTGAAGAGCAAATTGAACAAGTGCTGAATGAAGTCGATCAGGCCTCAAGGCTTTTATCACAAGGACCTTCTGGAATGGTGATAATCTGTGACCCAACTTCAACGGAAAGTTGTTTTCACATTCTCCACTGTGTGAAAAACCTGACCACAACCCTTTATCATCTAACTCCAGTTGTGAGTACAGTTCTGGTAGTGAACTCTGCAATACAAGTTACAACATTAATTAAAAATAGTGTAATCTTCTATACTGCAATTCATAATAATTTATGTCATTTGAAATATTACAGTCTCCTGCAATTTTAAACTTTATGGCATATTTATAACCTGTTGTCTTACTGAATTGCATATGACCAGCTATCATGAAACATTACCATGAAACTACAAAGTAAATTAGTAGTTCTCTAATCATTAAACTGTTTCACATATCTGTTTCAGAGATATATAACATCTCCATATTCAGGGCTTCAGCTGAAGCACTGGTGTTTACCTATGAGTGCACACAGCATCACAGCCCAGAAGAATATTACCACCACTGTGAAAACCTCAAATCTCATATGGTTCATTAGTTTTCATCAATATAAATAGAAGCTAAAAGGCATTACACATCAATAGATACGGAGCATTCATACAATGTTATTTAAGGAATGCTGATGATCTATCTCCATACAAGGTTTCATATGCCTAGCTACAACTGTTTATCATGTATCATTACCCATTGGAATGGTAAACACAGATTTTACATGACTACCACACTGTTTTATTTTCTAGAAAATATAACGTCAGATAAGTTTTTAAAATGTCAGAACCCTACATTAATAGGTGCTAGTGTTACTCCTAACTTTTTAACTTCACATGGGTGCTATGCTAAAATGATAAAAAGTTAAAAATTAAAAAAAAAGTAAAAAAAGTGGAGTGGCTTCTCATAGCATGTTGATCATGCCAAGTTTCATGAGATTTAATCAGTTATTTCATAAGCTACTAGGAAGTGATAGACACATGGATGCATGGACATGATACAAAAAGCCTGTCTTTCCTTACAAATAAAGAAATTAGGCTGAAAAAATAATTTAATCCTGTATGTATAATTGGGACACAGCATATTATAATCAATAAATTCCTGAAAAGTGATACAGAATGGCATATATAAATCTGGTCTACATGTTATGTAGCAAAGTTAATTAAACCAGAATTCCAGTATTTATAGACACACTTCTTATTACAAGACTAACCTTGAGAACAAAAACATCAAATGCTCTTTCTTCTTCAATCCAGTTTGGTACACTGTCACTCATTTTTGATGCATCATTCTTGATATCAGATATGGCTTGACCTACAAAGACTTTCCATTCCTAGAGAAATATTACACAATTAACATTGGAATGAAGAGAGGAAATGATAACAAATTTCCATAGAAACTTTATTTCAAATCATTAGTTAGTGCAGAACAAATTAATGAAATCTATATTCAAAGTAAGAGAAAGCAGTAACATGTTTACACATGTTTAAACATCATTAGAATACTGTACAAGAAAAGAGCATTCAACAGGGTTAAGTAATAAAATACTCACATTTTCCTGAATTTGCTGAGAATACATTCTACTGACAAGATGAACAGCAAACATGAGTCTATCAGCCTTGAACAGTGATCGACTAATATACTCATAAATAATATGTTGAAGTCTTCTCTGGTAGCCCTTTGTTCTGATTTCACTTGGTTCTTCTACCTATAAATCAAATGCAATAATGTAAGTACCACGTCTCTGTATGTTGAAGGGATTTCACTATAAAATTAAAAAACAAATGCAAATAATAAATGAACTCTTGTGGCATGTTATTTCTGAAAACCTTCACTATAAAAAGTGTTGTTATGTCTATTGACAACACTCTCAACAGAGATGGCAACTACAGTCATGCATCCAAAACAGGAGGTGATGTGTCAGCAGTTAGGAAAATAAATAGAATAAAACTGGCCATAATTTATGTCAGAATGTCTGTATTAATTATGTTGAAACATGAGTGGTTCAATAGTAAATTTATGAATGGCTGAATAAATTAACATATGGTATTAAAAACAGTGAACATCTCTACAACCAGGCAAAATAAATCATGCTGTAACAATGAAAAAATATAACAAAACAGGCCCTGATGATAGAGATAAAGCATCTCTCCAAAACAATGGTTTTAATTCAACTCTGATGTAACTAACCATCAGGAAGGATTTTAGTACAACAGAATTTTAACCTTATTGTATTAGCAGGGCGAGGTTTCAACCACCCTTCTTATTTTAATCTGCTATATTAAGATCATGAATGGATGAAAATTCTTGTTACATTTGAGAACCAGGGGTTTAGGTTATTTAATTTTGATAACAGCCTCTAGTATATAGTCTATAAGTCTAAATTTAGTAGACCATTTTCTTCATGTTTAAAACAACAAATAAATACCTTGGGCCCACTTAATGCTTTCTGAAAAAGCCTCGTGAAAGCTGTTACTGAGAACTGGTACATATTGTTCACTTTTCCAAGGTCCATTATAACAAAATAAAGAGTGCTACCAAATTCAGCAAGGGGTTGGTAAGCATCAAACTCCTTGTTCAATTCAGCTTGGAGATGAGATGACTCAGTCAGTGATTCATAAATAGCAGCACTACTGGCTTTTGTTTCATTCAGTGAAGCAAGAAGGTCCTGTAGAAATAAAACAAGTCACTCAATATTCATCACTTAAAATAAGTTATGACCCTAATTAATTTCATCAGTTAATTCAGTAAAACTATACCATTTGCTTCAGGTTCTGCTTGCTTACTTTGTTCAGAAGTATGTCTCCTTGAGCATTTGCCAATTCTTGCAAGAGAATCTCTTGCAGCTGGTCAAGTTTCAGTTTGAGTTCTTCTTCCTGCCGCAACAGCTCACTACGCCGTTGCTCTAGTTCTGGCCGTTCCTGACGCAACGCACAGGCAAGCAACTGCAACAATATCATGTTTTGTCATTAAAACCATTAATTCACTTCTCTTTCAGGAGCGAAGAAACAATGGACAGGACGTAGACACACCAAATAGATATATGCTGTGCACAGAGAAACCAAGTGCTCAAAATTTTCTATCCAAAACCAGACTTCCAGCCTCCCCCAATGCAGCAAAAATATTAAAATAACAATGTAAATGATAATACTGATGATTACTTTTTCCTTTCTAACAAAAAAGTTACTGAACTGTATATGCATTTCAGACAATAGCCACATATTTGATATGAGTTATACACAGAGATTTGAAACATACAGTTGAATAACATACAACTGCACACTTCAAATGAGTATTTCTGAGAATATAAATATGCATTTTAAAATAATATGCATTATAAAACATACTTGACCTGCTGTTACTTAAACTCATATATCTGACTTTAACATAAACACTAATCTGCTATACTAACCACTTATCTATGAAGATAGTATTGATATTGATTATCTGACTGGTTGTTTTAATTACAGGCAGACAAAGTTTACAGACGTTTTTGTCTGAACACTTGATGTTCATACTCTCAATCTCCATGTATGTAACATCTTTATAATTGCCAATATATTACCTGTCCTGTGAGACCTGCCCAAGTTGTAGCAAAGTTCACATAAGTAACAGCAGCAGCAACATCAGATGAAATATCTGGCTCAGCATTACGTGTGGTTAAGAACAACTGGAAGTTGTCATGATAATCAATCAGTTTGTCTCCAACTTGAACCACTTTCCTTGGACCTGTACATCGGACAGAGTACATTCCCAATACACTTCAAATAAACATACTCAACAGAGTGAAGTTGGCCAACATCTGTGAGTAAGTATAGGTATACCAACAGCAGCTTTATTACTGATGTTTTATCGTGGAAAAGTATGATTAATACCAGGAACATACAAGCAACTGCCACCACAGTGATTTTTTTATGTTAGATAACACATATATGCTAATTTAAACTGTCTGCAAAGATAGACAAATAGATGCATTCCATAGATCCTAGTAAGCAGGATGTGGAACAAGTACAATATATCACATTCAGCTAGCTACACTACACTATAATACAATATTCTCAAAATGTGTTTATTAGCAACTGAACATTCATAATACCAAGCAATACACAATAGTTTACCATCAATAAATAATAATATACAGAACCATATTATGAAATTTACATTCAAACACATAATTAGTCTGGTATTCAGTTCATAGTAATATAGATTCATCAACACACTATGAGCCTTGTCACAATGCAGATGAACCTTCAGAAGATTCTACAACACCAGGATCTAGGCTGGATAATTATAGCAGAAATTTAGCAAATAAAACTAAAGAAACAATCAAGATATAAATGATATCACATAACAATGTAGACAAATCACAATTCATTCCTTGTGTTCTTTACCTTGATTTATGAAATCTCCTCGAAGAATGGGGAAAAGTACAGGATCAATACTATCTACCTCTTGAATGATTAAAACTTTTCCAAACCTAAAAAGAAAAACCATCAGAGTAACTAACATACTCTTGAAATAATTACTATAATACACATTTTGTATAAATAAGACAAACCTTTCTCACAATAACTACAGAACAATCTGTTTTAAAGAAACAATATACCAGCTAACTTCTCAACATTTATATATTCAGAACAATTTACATGCACTTAAGTTGGATTTTAACCTTTATCAAGTTGGAATATGAGATTTCAAGTCCTGTACTACAGGGCTGCCAGCCAGACTTTAACTCTTGAAATAATAACTTAGTGGTATGCTAGTGCAATGCACAGCCAGCTATCTGTACATATGCCACAAAGTAGAGATGATAAAGGTTAAAGAAATCAGGAAGGAGGAATGGATTCACCTGGCTTGGGACAGGTACAAGTGGTGTGTTATTTTGAACAAAGCAATAAACCCTCAAGTTCTAAGATGCTATCACTAATACATTCCTTCACTGCATAATAGTGTGACAAGAATTGTAAATCCATGACGCAATTCAGTCTACTGGTATGAGGCAGTAACATTTCTTCTGGTACATATGAACAGCTGTCATGTCATGACTTAGCTGCAATAACCTCATTTGTGAAACTGTGTGTACTGTACAAAGGTCGCATTTGTATGAACCTAATACAACTCTTTTTCATTTGTGTGTTCTAGTTTTATCAGACTTAGTCTGCCATTGTGTCATATGTTTGACACGTAATGGCTAACTGCTTCAGAATGATTGTGATCTGTATGCTGTATATGTTTGGTGCTGCCATGAGCTTGATAATTTTGTAACTTTTTATGACAAATAAATTAGTGTTTTAACCCTTGTGTTGTTTTATACTATTTTGTAATTTTAACAAGATCTCTGTGGTCAATCAGCTCAATACAGAGCCATAAAAAATGGAACATTCAGATCAATGATGGAAAGTGTTCACTTCATATTTTACCTGATTGCAAGTTCCAGAGTGGTCATAAAATGTTGACTGTGCTGGGACACAACTTCAACAGTGCAGTCCTGCAAATGCTTCTTCAGCCATTCTGATGCCAATGAAGATGGGTCAATGAGGAAAGGAGAAAGTGATGTCTAAAAATAACAAATCTTGGCTTTATAAAAGCGCAATGACTTGAGCATTAACTACAGTGCGGGATGTAACCACCAAACTGTTCAAGATGTAAAATCAGGGGAATCCACATCTATTATGAAATATGCCACTTAGTTGGGTTTGAGGTTTTTATCATTATGTGATTATGGCAATGTCACCAATTTAAATTCTACTGAAATTTAAGTTCAACAAAAATCAGATAAATCAAATTGAGACATGAAAGTCAGTTCCTATTTCTATTCATGTTCTCTCAAAAATTTTACTCTAAGCTTCCTTGTCTGCTAGGCATACTACATAACTACAAAAGCCTCAGACCTAACTTTGTAGCATAATCCATTGCACAGACAAGGTCCTCAAGTTTCATTGCAGAACTACTAGGTGAATTAACCTGTATGTAGTTAATGCCTAGGATTACAGCACATCACATACCCAAATACTGTCAACACTTACAACACAGTAACAGTATGTACATATGATTGCTCATTATGACTAATTATAGATTAGTTTCAGAATTATTACATACACAAAGATTAATAACTACATATTCTGAAATATATTTGAAATAGCCTGTGCACAGACACAGCCCACTTAACAAGCCAGTCATGACAAACTTCAAGACAATATCATATTCTAGTAATGCCTTACCCCAGCCTCCAAACTTGCAAGCTGCCAAAAGGGAAAAGTAAAAGATGATTATGTAAATCATTACAGTCAGAAATTGATAAATTCACAATAAAAATACTTATTATATTAACTGATTTATATAAAACTGATATTCATTTTAAATATTGTTGGTTATTAAATGTTCTTCATGCTCTAGTGTGCATCTAATTGGCCCATCCATGTCTGCTTTGCATTTTTTTTTAGGAACTAGTGAATTTGAATGACCCAGGTCATTGTTGAACACTCTGTTGTGAGATCCATGTTCCATAACATTGGCTAAGACAGCCATAACAGGGTAAACAGTGTGCAGCTTGACGTGAACATAAGTATTTTATGTCCTCCTTCTGACATGATTAATTGTTTAACCCAGTAACAAGCTGTGATTTTGGTCATAGTATTGTCAGCTTTTAGTTTCTGCAAATTTTCCAGTGATTCATTACCTGCTGACAGAAACTCAATTAAAAATCTTTGCTTGCAATGAACATCACTGTTAACTGCCATATTGATAACCAATTCCTTGAAGGATGTAACATATGGTGTTGTGATGCTACACAGTCTTGTGGATGGTCAACAACATATTTCAGAAATACATCACCTCCATCTTTAGGGTTTCCTGGAACGATATCTGTTAGAATATTTTGTATCTTGTACTCACAAGCATAACCATAACATTTTGCAACACCAAACATGTAGTCATTTTACTATTTTATCATTTTATAAATTCAACTATAGAATATTTACAACAGCAGCTATCACCTGAAGTATGATAAGAGCATTCTGGATAGATAGTTGGTCAGAGGGAAGTCCTTCTGATAGCCACTGCAGCTGCTCTTTCTCAGAGCCCAGGAAAGTGGCGAAGGAAAAGTTGTTCACGTCCAACAGATCCTGCCACTCTGTTATCAAGGACTGACGAAGATCTTCTGGTGCCAATGATAAGTATGTGATGAATGCTGCAGCTAACAAAGAGTTTACTGGTAACTGCTTCAGGTCCTGTGACAACTCAGTCAGCTGTAAATACATTTTTAATTAGAATGATCATAATGTTACATTTAAAAGTGAAATGTAAAATAACAAGAATTAAGACTGCACTTTTTTAGTACGATCTCAGTGTGCAAGATATTTCTTCTGTAATAGCAAAACATCATTTGTAACTATTTTTGAGTGATATAATTAACTTAATACAAATCATAAAATATTGATCAGATGAAGAGTACACAACTTATAAATTATGACAAATGCTTCAGTAATTATTTATTTAAATTAAAAAGTACAAAATTATGAATTTGTTATATAATATGTTTAGCATAAGTATAGGAAGTATAAGTCTGTGTATCTTGGACTTTAATAGTTCATGTGTTACATACTATACTGATTAGTGATGTATGCATATTGAGAGATACTAATCTGTGAACTATAATATCTTTGAGATTAGGTCTGAAAATTTCATGATTGTACAAGAATTGTAGATCCAATAAAGACTATGGTATTCACAGAATTATGTTCAGAACAGTTGTATGTTGTAAACTAAAAACATGAATGCTGAAGAAGTTCTGGAAGGAATTCTGAGAAAATATATTTATGTTAAAATCTCAAAACTGAAATCCCAGAGCTTTGTAAGTTTAGCCTCTCTTAATCTTCTTATTATGATTAACAATGAGAATGTTATTAAAAGGTAGTTCACAAGAGTTTCAATACAGAAAACTGCATTTCATAAAAGTTGAGGTTCAATGGTGATGAAAATGTGGGTTGTACTCTTCTGGGTTGTGATAACCACAAAGCCATATAGATGATTACGAAGGGATGGAGGAAAGCTGGTAACCACCTAGAAGATTACATGGTGTGAAACCTGAAAGATCAGAATCCACATATGCCATTTTAAATACTGTACCTGTTTCTTCCATCTTTCAAACTCATCATTCAGTTTGCCAACCAATCCCTCTGCAGCGACAATAGTTTCCTGAGCTTTATTTAAATGGATCTCAATCTCAGCAGCCTCCTTTGTGTAAGTATTCAATTGATTCTTCAGATCAGAAACAGTTTTGTCAACATCTGTGAGATCCAAACTCAGCCTCCCAATTTGTTGTTCAGCAAGCTTCATGTTTTGATACAACTTTGATTGTTCTCTCTCAAGAGGTCGAATCTTTTCCAACACATAAGAGTATTTCACATTTGCAGTAACCCAAGATGCGAGTGGAGCAGCTGCTACAGAAGCTCGCCGAGCATTCCTGGGATCAAATGATTCTTTCCTTTCAACTAATAATTTTTCAACTGCTTGACGGCTTTCTGGATTTATTCTGTGTGCATCAAATGACCTTAAACAATAGAATAACACATTTTATATCCATAATTTGAAACAATATTAAATAAAAAATGTCTCCGTGATTACTAAGCAAATGGTTGCTTGTTCATTTTCAAATTTCACCAAAATATAAAAGTCAATTTATTCTGGCAAACACTTTCAGTAATACCTGATCTCTTCCTTAACTCCCCTCTTAGCCAGAAAGGTTTTCATGCTGTTCCATGAAGTATCTAGAATGCCCATGAGCCTCAGAACACCTTCCAGGATGTCCCTGATAATGTCTGGAGGAGCTCGTAATGACCGAATCTCAGACAGTGATTCAGACTTTATGTTTCCAACTGCAGCACTAGCTTCTTGGATCAGGGGCTCAATCTCTGCTAGCTCCATATCTATAGCCTTTTTCCTGAGCAAGAAGAATAAAATGTTCATTTTTACCCAAATTCAGTTTCAAATCACCACTTCATATTACAGTTGCTTTTTTGAAAACAAACTTCATTAGATAAGGTTTGATAAAGTTTAACACAGTGGCAGATACATTCCTTTTTAGTTGTAGTGAGCCAGACTGACAGCTCAGTCCCAGAAAAGGCTATGAACGTAACTGAGAGGACACACACCATATGCATTAGCTAATATAATAACTTTAATAAGAATTTATCAAATGGAAGTGTGGATAATCAAGAGGAAGTAATTCTCTTTAAGACAACAAAATACAATTATTTTCTCCATTTATTTTTCAAAAAGTTTTTGCAATAATGTGTTCAAACAATAAGTTCTCACAAATAATGGGACAGAGACATGGATGGGACCACAAAGTGATCTTCGCTCACACTACTGTAAAGAACACCTAATGAAATTAAAAAAACAACATACCTCTCCATAAGCTGAAGACTTTCTCTCTCTGTCTGCTCTTTCAGAGACTCCATTTCCACCTTCTGAGTATTGGCACTGCGCATTGTTTCTGTTATCATCTGCAGTGCAGAGTTGGCTTTTGCTTGCTTCTCTGCCAACTTCTGTTCTTGGCCTGCTGCCTGGGACTTCAATGCATCAACAACATGACGGGCTTCAGTAAGTTTGGATACACCTGCCTGAATTAATACCATTCTGCCATCAGTTTTACTAAGCAGGAAATTAGAGTTTCAATGATTTGGATACTATACTATTAATTAAGTGCAAACTTGCTAGTATTCTCTCACATAGTAAATCATGTGAGATACAATTTGTGTTACATTAATCTGATGGAAATTTGTTTGTATACTATGTTCTTCTTTTAATACAAAAATAGTAGGTCACAAATATGAATTTCATTTACCACCTGCCCCTTTGTTACTGTTTTCCTAAGTTACTTACCTCTGGTAAAATCACTTTCTTTATAAATAACATGTTTTGTGAAATTACACAGTAACATTTAAGTTTACTATCACATTTTAAGATTCTTTACAAAATAAGAAATTAAATATAAACCATGTTCTACCTCTCCTTCTACATGTATGTCTTCCACATTTCGCATTCTATTCACACAAACTTAAAATGTAATTTCTCCAGACAAGAACTGCATATTACTGTATGGAGTCTTGTGCACATAGAGGTTACATTTCACAGGTGGTCCTACTTTTGTGATCTTCACTTGTGTCACACAGATGGCACCTTCCTGTAGCTGACTTTGTAGGCATTTGCTTAACAGTGGCTGGCTGATACAAGCTTCAGTTTGAGTGATCATGGTAGTGACTGCAGCTTTGCTTGATTCTGTACATGATCATTAATAAATTCTATGGAAATTGTCATGAAACTTTAGTTCTGACATTGCAATCTGAATCACAGTTCATGATATGGACTTGCTGTCTGTCTCTCTCTCTCGCTTCATATTTCAGTTTACTTTGAGAGGTGAGACATTAAACTAAAATAAAAATAATCACTTAATGAACTGCAGTATAAAATACAAATATATGTACTTTCATAGAATGTAAATACGATGGAAAAATAATGTGACATGAAGTTGATGCACACTGTACCTGCAGTCGTTGTTGCTTCTGCTGGATATCAGTTTTCCTCTTTGTGTAGATATGCATGTAGGTGTAGATAAAGGAGATGTATCGCCGAGGAGTGGCTAATTTATCAGAAACATGCTCATGAATTCTCAAGAAACCTTCAATAAGGGTGTCGTTCATGGATGACCTCCGTCCACTCCTCTTATAGCCTGATGTATGATCTTCAACTTTAACAGCCCTAGAAAGCACAAATTTTTTGTATAGATTGGAGTCAAAGTATTAAAAATTCAATAATAAGTAACAGTATTCTGCCTCTCTCCAGATATTTCTCTAATTACAAAGGCACTGCTCAGAAATTATGAAGTAACAAATTACAGTAATGTCTACGTATGAGCCAAATTGCTGTTTATTATAAGAAACCTTTCTCATCTAAATAATTTAATTTAGAGTTCCAATCAATGTTTGGAGTAAATAATGTCTTTCTCTAGAGTGAGACATAACAAATATGAATTCAGCATGAATATTTTAAATTTTCCATTTCCCACTGACTTCAGTAGCCCACTTTCTAGTGCAGTATAATTTTCATAGTCCTTTACCTGGTCAGCAGAAGGTGTGGAACTGTTCTCATGCTGACTGTGCTCCAACCTGGCAGCCATATAATACTGCACTGTTTGTACAAAGCTGGGTTACTCTCACATGCCACTGTGAAGTGTGCATTTGTAAAGTCCATTACCAGGATGACATGCAAGTTCTTCTGCACACCTGGAAAAAATATGACTTATAATTTTTGAATGCCAACTTTGAGTGAAACAGAGAGGGCAGACAAATTAGGTGTTATCTCCAAAAGAATAACATAGTGCTACATCAAAAACTACAAGAACTTGCTTTAACACAGCTGTTAAATATTTCAGATATTCTAAGATCAAGAATCCATCCAGTCAAAATGGTGAAACCAACATCAAACTGTGTTCAAATATATGGCTGGGTGGTTAGGACTCCTGCTTTGTATTCAGATCCCAGGTTCAAATCTTGGCTCAGAGACCAGCAATCCTGACAGATTTTACATGATTTTAATCTGTACCTCCTGGAAAATGTGAGATCGCTCCTTAAATACAGTATTAATATTCATTATAAGTTGAAAAATCAACAGATATTGCTTGTACGTTTTTAATACTGAAGAAAATGTAAAGATTGGTATGTTTAAAATTCACAGAGATGAACAAATTTAACATTTTGTGTCAAGAAAAGAGATATAAACTTCACAGCTGAAACAGCATTACACAAATACCTCAAATGCTGATATTCTCATCCAAGATGAAAAAACAAGGATTTTGTAAGGTTTTTTAAAAGGCTAATTTTTTTTAAATTTTATCTTTTTTTTTTTTAGTGTATACCATACAAAATGTGACCTGCTATATTTTAAGTCCTCTTTAACATGCAAAATACTGGATTTTTAAATTGAGGTTCCATCCATGTTTTCTGATGCCAAAAGGGTTCTGAAAGCAAAGAAATTGAAAGTTATAAAACCTGTTCATCATCTTACATTTTGAAAAGTAGGATGCTGGGCTCCCTACAAATCCTTCTTGTGCAGCGACATCTTTGAGGGGTGATATGATAGGTTCCAGTTCCTCTGCATTATACAGCCCAGGCACCTACAGAACAGAACAAATATTACACTGATGTATAGATAGTAATAATCATAGAAGATATTTCAGGTTGAGACATTTTTCCACTTCAGGTTAAACCATTATTATTTCTCAAGTCAATCAAAATGCTGCAAGTTTGTCTGCATGCAGATTAAATAAAATAGATGAGATTAAACTACATATCAAGCCATAAGAAAGAAGCATCAAAAATTTCAATAAAATACTGGGGATTCAGAATAATGAAGAATGTAACAATCATTTCCACACTATAAGCATAATATCTCACAAACTGAATTACTGCTGTCAACTCTACATGTCTTATGTCATCTTGAAACACTAATGTAAATTTTCTTCATATCTGGCAGTGTCAGTGACAGAAACCCCTGCAATCTCTGCACACCTCCAGCTAAAAGTTTGTGACTTTTCATAGGAAGAATGCTCCTAATACATGTACACAATATAAAAGAATACTGTTTCTCTCTCCCACACAATAAAAGTGTGAGCACATGTGCATATGTATGTGCACACATGCACGCACGCACACACACACCTGGAATTTGCCTGGAGAACAGAGAAAAGTCAAAAAAACCTCATTCAGATAGCTGGTCTCCAGACCAACATCTAAACCTAGGACCTCTTGAATATGAAGCAGGCATTCTCACCAATTTATTGACAGTAAGAAGTTGTATAACAATAAAAACCAAAGAAGCAAAAACAAGTGATACTCTCCACACCACTCACTTCACTTAGATCACTTAGGCGACCCATTCTTCAGTGTGTTGAGCATCTGTGGGTCCCCAAATCATGGGCCACACCACTCAGAAGGGAGAAATAAGCACTAATCACATTTTATTTTTGTTTTCACTTTTGTGAAAGGTAGCTTTGTTCAAGCTGACCCAACAAATATTCTCTTGGAAACTCATCACAGACTGAGACCATGACCCAGCCAATAGAAAATGTGAATCTGTAAGCAATGCAGCCAATTTTAACTTACTTCTCCAGATGAAAGAAGACTATTCACCATGTCCAGGAAAGCAACGTCTGTGACTTGATAGTCTTCCAGAAGCATATAAACCTGCTCCCCTTCTACACCTGCTAACTGCATCACCTGATTATAAATACAATCTCAATATACTTAAAAATGTTACATGGTACATTTGTTGTTGTTACTGTTGGTAGGAATCCACATATTTTATGGCAGTAACCAGCAGTGGTATTTCAATTTTCCCAGGATGGTCTGAATCATAGCAGGAGATTAACATTTCTCACATGCACAAAGTTTTTACTTTGTAACAGATGAGGGAAAAAAGGCCTTCAGATAAATCTACACTGGACTCAAACCCAAGACATTCTGCACTGCGGGCTAGTTAGAGTGTCACTGTTAGTATTCTGGGTTGTGACAGTGTGTGGACTTCTAGGTAGATACCAACATTTCGCAAAAAAACTAGTATCTGCCAACAAGACAACATAGTGCCAAAACCCAGAAGACCAACACAGACATTTTCACCACCATATGAAACTTAAATCTCATATGGTCAATTGTTTGTTTAAACTGCTTCTCACAGTATACATTTACATAAATATTTTTTTAAAGAAGGTAATCATATTAAATGTTTATATAATATACATTTAAACACTAAACAACAAAATCACAGTTCAAGATCAGTAATCTATTAACTATTAGTTAAATTTTTCGTGTGCATATTTTTGGACTTTTATTCAATTTAAGTTCATTCCTGATACACTAAACATTTATCAGCACTGTATTTACTACTGATGTTCTGGGGTTGTTTGGTGATTGCTTTGTGTTAATATAAGAAGTAACATCTATTGATAAATTCTGTTATAATTTTAATTTTAGCTCTCTGCATACTTTTCCTTCTCTCAAATCTTTAAAATCACACTGTTATAATGAATTAAAAAATGCATTTTTCTATATATCTAATAAAAATCATGAAGTTAAACTTACAGATTTCAAATCATTTTTGAAATTCTTCAAGCTATATGCCTTTCCCATTTTCAAGGAAAATAATTTAGCTCCATGAAGAGCTGAAACAATTCGCACAGCTGACTTTCTTCCAACACCAGCTCTCCCAGCTAACAAGAGAGATCCATGAGGAGCAGATAGTACTCTGTCTATACAAGCCACTGTGTCAAGTACTTCTTGGAAAACTATGAGATCCAATGACTGCCCTTCTCGACCTAAAAATGACACCATTAAAACAATACCTTATTACATTTACAAAATAAACAATAAATTGGTAGCCTACCTAAATAACAACAAAATTTTCATATAATAAAACACCAAAAAGATTATTCCTGTCAATGTAAATATGAAATTAAGGCTACATACAATTGAGAAGAAAAATTCAGAACATGGTAACAGAGAGAGAGAGAGAGAGAGAGAGGGTGGAGTATTTCTTACTCTGACAAGTGATGTTTCATGTTTCACATACATTGAATTCAACAGACCCTCAGTTTGAATCTCTAGTCAATGACTAGAGAACCTAAGGTTTTCATATACTTCATCATTCACTCAAGGGAAATTCCATCACTGTTCACTTCCTAATACATACAGTATGGTGTTTATAGTAGTACAAGTGTAACACTATAAATTCAATATTCTGTTTACATACTTATTTCATTTCATTATTTATATACTAATTTAATAAAGTACATCTGAATACTAAACAATTATTATATCTAAATTAATCTATATTTAACACAGATTCTTTGTATGTTATCTTTAATCTCTTCCAACAAGTTAAGATTCTAATATGCTATTATACTAATGATCTCTATTAACTATACATGATATATTTATGATATAGATGTAAGAAATAGACCTCACCAAACTGTACAATGCCTCTTTCTACCAAGACAGTCCAATCTGCTGCTTCCATTTTTACAAGAGGCTTGCCAAATGGTGGCAGTGGAGCTCCTGCTGATATTGAGTCATCACCCCGTGTGACATAATACATTCCTGACAATCATTAATACAGTTTTAATTCATATGACAGTTATTATGATTCACTATTTAAATAATACTGCAAATTACATATCTGCAAACTTCATATACACTTGAATACCAGAAAGTTTCTCCACTAATGAATCTCTGCTCCACTCAGACTCCAGAACTCTAGTAACGATAGAATCAAACTGAGAGCGATCCTCATGACAGACCAGCTTGTCACGGAATAACCTCATGGATTCATAAACCAAGACCTGAAAAAATGACATAGTACCATCAGTATAGTGTAGCCTCTTCAGGTGAAAGAATACAGTTTATGCATTTTCGTTTTAAATTGACAGGATGAGAGTTCAGTATGCCTACATGTAACAGTAATAAACAAAAGGCTGTTGAACATGCTACAGTATTTTAACTATTTCTTTCAAGCTTTGTTTCACTAACCAAAAGAATTTCAAAACATAGATTTAAAATTAGTAAATAAAAAGCATAACAAATGTGTATTTGTTGTACTTTCCACAAACATAGTTATTATTTATGTTTACTGCACTGGTTCCTGGCAGGAGAAGTGGGATTTTTCCCCTTGACAGTTATGGTGCCCATTAAATTTTGTATACAGCAGGTGGTGAAGATGTCTTCTCTGAGGAGAAAGGTGTAATGCTGACCATTCACCCCCACCTAGTAATTACTAAGGCATAGTACATGTGTACCATTTAAAACACAACCCAACAACAACCATGTACTATGACACAAATACAAAATCAGAAGCAGTCACCCCCATGCAATAGACACTCCCAACCTCCCCTGACACTTAAGCCAAAGTCACTCGATCGCTAGACAGCTGCTCTGCCAGCTGTGTATATGAAAACATGGTGTATTCTTGAGCAGAACACATGTTCATTCTCAAATATTACTTCCACTAAAGAGAGTCAGAATCATATACTTAGGTCTATTTCAGTCTTTGACAAAGATTCTCTAACATCAATGCATATAAGATAATAAGTGTGTGAACTGAATGAGTGAGCAAGTAATTTGGTAAGTACACTTACTTCAAGCACTAAGTTGACAGAATGCTCATCCTCTTTAAGGTCATAACGAAGAAATCCTAAACACCACCGAGTTAAGTCACGAGGTGTAAAAATATAATGATTCTGACACACTGGAGTAAATGTGTTTCTAACCTGAAAAAAGCATGATTATTTCTAGCATATAGAAAGAAAGTACAAATAAAACAATATAATCAGAGTGATCCAACCAAACACAGAAAATGTCTTAAGGTTAAAATAGTGTACTTGCTACCATATTCTGAGACATATTAAATAAGAAACCAAGTAAGATTACATCCATCCATCCAATGGCACTACAGCCTTGGGCCTTGGCTCCTCCCACATGGGAGGAGAAAGTAAACTTACATAGATAACTATAAATTAAGTGCAAATACAAATAACTTACTAAATTACAAAAAATCAGTATGATGTCTGATCTTCAATCAATATGATACTCATATTGTCATACCATATGTAAACTGTTCATTTGCACACTTTGTGATCATTTGCAATTTACAAACTGCTACACTGTAAAACATAATGTCCTAAACAGGATGAGACTCCGCAATGTACTGGACATATTCATTAAAGAAAACACACACACTTCTCTCTCTCTCTCCAGTACCTCATCATAAATTTTGATCATGGATCCTGTAAGGTTGGCAACTTTGGCTGAGGACTTCAATATTTCATGTTTAGGCAGACACAAACCAAAGATGCTGGACATATAAATAGTGTATATAGATTTTAGCTCATCTTGCTCTGGATAGCTGGAAAAAACAAAACAATATAATTAATCAAAGAATGTATCTTAAGTAAGTTAATCATTTAACTAATGGATAAATAGAATAGATAAACTCCAGTAAAGTAATAACTAAATTAAATTTCCCACTGATGTATGAATAAAGGAAGTATGTTGAAAACGGAATCTAGTAAATTTTTAAAGATAACAAACTTTTAAAGAGGACAAACTATGTCCCTAAATGAACTATGTCACCTATCTTCGTATAATAAACAGGATGTGTTTCTTCTGTACCCACTGTACTCTCCTTATAATGCTGCATAATCATTTATCTCTTTCCACAGAAAAAGAACTGACTAAAGACCTGTCATATCAAGGATGCAGCAGAGGTTCATTTGGCTTCAAAGACTGTGTTATGGCAGGTCATGTGTCATGTTTTAAACATCTGTACAATCACTAGGAGAAGTGTGTAGTTGCAGGAAATTACTTTAAAAGAAAAATGTAAGAAGAGCTTCTTAGTGCCAGTAAATTTGAGGTATGGGTCCTGACATGAAGTTTTTGGAGCTACCAAGTAAGGAAACTATAATCAACTTACAAGCAGATTCCACTACTCCAAAATGATGCTCAAGTTAGGGAGACATGTAGATAATGTCTGGCAAAGCCGTTTCATAATTTTAAAGTGGGTTCCAACCATTGTAAACATATACCTTGTAATTTAAATAGTACTTATAATATATTCAAATACACAGATGTTTGTGAATGGTGGCATTACAATGCAATCTATTCAAACTTAACTCAAACATCTATTATAAAAACAGTATTTGTTAACTTAAAATACCTTATATTACAATCTACAAATGTACCTGATTGAATAGATCCTCATAATCGAGGTAAAACGTGGACTGAGAGAATGACGACCCATTGAATTTCCTTGTGTCATGCTGCCCACAATCTGAACTTGCTCCAGGCCCACCCATTCGAGATTATTGTCATAGAAACCATTATAAGTAATGACCTGTCAATTGTAATAAAAAGTCTTACATGGAGTTGCTTCTGTATGCACACCATAAACGCTAACAACACTACAATTTGCCCAAATCAGATGCACAATTACATGCACCTATGTGTGCCTTTGAACCATTATTAACTTTTAACCTTTATCAACCATGTATTGCAGTTTATATATAGTCCACCTGGCCATACATGACAGTAGCATACAACAAACTATTAACCTCACAGTTAATACCATGCCAGCAGCCATTTAGTTTGGAGATTTAACCTTTATCACCCATGCAATGCAGATAATGTAATACAGCTGGTCATGCAACATAATAGCATGTGGCCAGTCAGATAACTCCAGAGATTAAGTCTGGCTAACAACAGTCCTGTAATGAGGGATTTAAATCCCCTGCATGACAAAGATTAAACCCCTACCACTATACAATAAATTTTAATATCTGGAAAGTTGCTCTGCATGCAGGACTTCAACTAGCATTACTACTATATGACCTGCTAACAGAAAATTTGAATTCAGGGTCCTGCCTAAATAAGTATTTTTGAGTAAACAAATTAATGTCTTGGCCTACATTCTACACCAAAGATTGTAATTCAATTATTTAATCTGCACCAATCTTAAGGTTATTTATCTTGTTGGAAAGCAAACTTCAACACTCAAAATCATTGACTTTGCAGTTAAATTATAAAATATCACACCTGTTTACTTCAGAACTACTCTGTACAAAATAAAAACATTAAAATAATACACCTTGATACTTAACAACAAGCAAGAAGGGGGGAGATAAACTATCATGATAAATGAAATGATATAAGTTGAAATGAGTGCTCCAGTATAGTAAACAGTGTGTTACTTTTACAGCAATGGGTATTATGAAGGAAAACAGTTTCTCACAGCAATGTGTATGAAGATGGCTGTCTTCTGGATTGAGCCATGTAGTCTGGTAGAAGTTTACTAACATTTCAGTGGTGCTTGCTGTCTTCATAAAAATGATGGTGCTAGAACCCAGAAGACAGCCATCTTCTGAAGAAATTTGTGTTTGGCATTTAATGACTTAGCAACTTGAAATATAATCAATTATATTTCCAGTAAGAAAAATACATTCTGCTATACCTGCTGAAGGAATGCAATAAGCATGCTGGTTCCCCATTTGTCAGGTCTAGCAAGGTTCAAGTCTTTGAAGTACAAGATCAAACGTTCACTGTTCTTTGGACGATACACACGTCCTGTGTTGCTTGAGATCACCATGCATACCTGCAGCAAATATATGTTCCATCTCTTAAAGAGCATTACAATTGTTGTTACTGATAAGGAAATAATAATCCAGCTTCTGAAACACTGTAGTTTTACAATTTTATAGTTTAAACAATGGACAAAGTCCAAATTAACAATTTCATATATTACAAATTAACCATGGTTTGATAAAAAGTGCTTAAAATTAGTAAATGAATTGATACAACCAGCATATGGACATGATCACCCTGCATGTCCACACACATTTCCAAGTTTTACCACTTTTTACATACCTGACTCAGTTTTTGAAGAACATGCTGAGGAGTGATCTGAGCACTGCAATGAATGGTTGCCAACTCAGTCGCTCTCAGCTTGCTGAAGCAATGATTCAGGAGAATGCTGAAACATTAGCAAATTCTCTTGCCACCCATGTTTTGAGAAATACCACTATAGTGAAGGAACAAGACAAATTTCTTGTAATTCATGACAACAATCATAACAAAAACTATACACTAGATATCTAAGTTTAAATGAAGTTAAGTTAGGTTATGTTTAAGCTAACTGTGACAGAATGGGATGTCACATAGAATAACAATGGCACAGAACTAATTTTATGATTAACATTTTTCTATAGGAAAAAGAATGGTAATCATAACAAAGATAAACAAACTGTTAAAAAACAAAATAGACTCTGGCACTAATATGCTGCCTATGACACAGCAGTGAGCTCAACATAATACAAATCACTTTAGATCCAAAACTTTGGTTAGTTGGCTTGTACTTTTGAAGGGATAATTATAAAGCAGTCTCAGCTGAAGAAATCCTGCAGATCACACTGCAACTATAACTCAGTGTTTATAACTGATGCAATGACAATGAAAGCTTCGTGTAAACAATATCTCAGTCATTTCAATATTTTTGTCACTGGGTGTAAAAAAGAGGTAATCTTTCTGCCTGATATTTGTTCAGATATTCCATGAAATTTAAACTTTTTGGACAGTCTTTTGTCATCCATTCATTCTTGAACTTGGGAGACATAAGAGAAGATTTTTCAATAAATGTTGAATCTTGAAATGGATTCTAGTAGCCCTTTCCTTGTTCACATAAAAGAAGAAGGGCCAGAATTACCTTTTTCCACAGCCCTGTGGTCCTACTAACAAGAATGGCTGCTGTGTATCAACATGCAGCCAAGGACCAATAATGTCCAGTGTTCGTTTAACATCTGCAGTCATGATGAGAGGAAGAAAACAGCCAGTTACTCCAAGACGGAGTTCTGTGTTTTCATGGTTTATCATGTATGTGTCCAGACAATCACGTTGTGGGTTGTAATAGCTGTACAGCAGGCGAGCAGGGTCACGAACATATTCGCCTGTCCATTCAAACACCTAAGATGACAAGAAAAAACCTAGATACAGCCTTCACCTGTAAAATTGTTCAGAAGAATTCTTCCTTTTTATGTTATTCATGAAATGGATGATGATGGCATGAACAGCATAATCATACAGTATAGTACACATTAACCCATCTGCATTCTGAAATCTATGGTCATTATCTTTGACCCTATTACTTTACAAGTTCCAAACATATAGTGCATTGCTTTACAAAAACAATGCTCAACTATCATGGTCAGTTACTACAACACTAATTACAATAACTGTTCAAAATAGCCTCCTATAGCTTCTATGTTTGTTGTGGCCCTTCTTGAAGTGGAAGAGATGGCTCTTCAAAGAGTCTCAACCCTCAGCTCTGGCACCAGCAAATTATACCTGTTTTGCAAAAGCCTCCCTGCTGGGAAGGGTCAGGTTTCCACCAAGACCTCTGATCAGAGCCACTGCAAAGTGAGCCCTGCTGGTTACTCCATGCAGCTGAGACAGTCCATTCTGAACTACACCAACAAGTGACATAGTGACCACCATCTGTCCTTGTTGCACAACCCAATTCACTCCTGAGGAGAAGAAAATATATATTAGCATTCTCCTTTGGTGTTTCAGAATAAAAGAACATAATTTTGCATTTTTTAATGAAATAATAACACTATATGTTCATAAAACTGGAAGCAAAGAAATTATTCCAAGGATGTTTAAAAATATTACCCACTGACTTGAAGTATACCTTCAATGTGATAGCTCCAACCTTGAGAAAGTACCAAATATGTTACTTCGCAGGGTAAAAATGATTCATAGTGATAATAAAACAGTTGTGGATGCTGTTTATTGCTTGATATTTTGGGATATTTTACATTTGGCTGTAATACATATTTAATAATTACTATAATTATAATGCATACAATTCATTACAGGATCTCTACAGCTGACAAAAAAACGTTTCCATATAAATTAACAGTTGTTAGACAACACAAATTATATGATGTGATATCTTAAGGATAAAATTGTCAATAACAAATGCCACAGAAAATAAACTGCCTTACCTTTGTAAAAATAATCTTCAATCAGTGGTGTCAAAAATCTAAGAATTGACTCATTCTGTCCCTTGAGCCAGGCAGAAACAAGGCCTATCACATTGATATCTTCATCACTGAAATTTGAAAAAGACTAAAGTAAAAACAAAATGAATAGTATCACACAGTGTTCGTTTAGTATATAAAAAACAGCAAACCTGAGAAAAATCATTCCCATTCGAGATATTGTTGCAGGTGATGCAAAACTCAAATCATGAGTTTCAAACACAAAGTTGACATTAGGTCCAAACTGGATTCTCCAACCAGATGGCAGTGTCAGCAATCTGTTGTCATCTAAAACTGAATTCAATGACTCAATCCATTCTGGATCCACATCACCATCACACACAATCCAAGAATGTACATCTGTGACAAGAATCAATACAGAACAATGTAACTTCTGAGTCTTTCAAAAATACCACAAAAACATACCTGCTACAGAGAGCATTTATCTCATGCCTAGTGAGAATGATCAAAACATATTCAAAATGTCTATAGCCTTAATCCTCACTTCCTCCAGTAGTAAATATTTCAGTTTCCATTGCTTGCAACTCCTGTCTGAGGCACACAATTTCAATCAGCTTATCTTCCTACATGTTGGCACCACTTCTAATTTGGGCTGGCCTCAAAAGTTTATTACAGCTGAATCTTGTGAGAATAAGGACTTCAGAGAAACCCCACATAAATACACCAAGCCAAGAAGACAACAGTTCTTTTGGCAGAATATGCTACAGGTATAATTCACAAATATGATCAAAACAACAAAATGTCTCACCTGGTGGTTCAGAATATACCTGCAGAGCACTCAATGTGAGTACACCATCTGTCCACTGTCTGGTATCAATATCTATCTGTCCTAGCAGCTGTGTTCTAGGCATCGCTTTTGGATTCATGGTGTGTTGCTTCAATGATTTGCCCATCTTTGTCAAAGACTGAAATACAAATTATAACACAACTAAAAACCAATTACTACTACTGGCCATTATTATTATTACTGCTACTACTACCACTACTACAACCACCATGACTACTCTTACCACTTTCACAGAATATTTTTAGCTCACTTACCATAATATTTGATTCCTACCCCACACACAATTAATTCTAGAAGTCAGTGAAAAACATCTGTTGGCTGCACACCATAAAACAGGTATGATTGGTAGCCTATTTCTGGCCTACTTACTGTTTACACCCCAGATTTATTATGAAATAAGTGCATGTACAGTATTTATTTAGTACTTTAATGCATTTTAAGACCAAAGAAGCAGACTCAAAAGACATTCTCTGTCACTGGCAAGTTAACAAAGTATCAATTTATTTGCAAAATGATAACATAACTCAGCACACATAGTTTAACCCTTTATGGGCTTGTAGGACCTTGTGGATGAGGTTAAAAGCTCTGTACTGACCAGTGGAATCACTGGTCACAGACTTTTTGTTGATATGGTAGTCCTGTAAAGGACAACTAATACAAGGAAGACCACAAAGTTAAATATGGAATCATGGGAAAAGTTGTGAACTCATATACAGGGAGAGGTGAGTTTAGTGAGAAGTGGAGTTAAGAGAATTCAGTCACAAACAGCAAGCTAACATAAGTTCCCAGTGAAGGGATATGAAAAGCTAATTAGTCAGTCAGGCACAAGTGTTCCATTTTGACTCTGGAAAAGAGAACAGGGTTTTGGAGGGAAATTTCAGAATTACAAAGTTGAAGGAATGACAGACTGAAGATATAGTTAAACGATGAAAGGTAAGAGGGCAGAATTTTGTAAAAGGTTTAAATATTTACACAGGATGCACCTTACTGTTTGTATTCCTACTTGTTTCATATGACACACAAAATCTTCTTACATGTTTAAGTAGGCGACACAATGTGCTCTTGCCTGATCCTGATGGACCTACAATCACAACCCCCATCCTTTGCTGTAGCTGCTCATATACCTCTAGGCATTTTCTCATCTGAAAAGACACACCTTCACATTATACACTGTAACAAAAGAGATTTGATAAATACATCGTTTGCTTCCCAGGCAACTAAGACAATTTCCCATGGTTTCATATATCTACAGTGCACGAAACACAAATATGTACAAAGTAAAGTACAGATACTATTTTTTAGTCTTCATCTGTTCACAAATTACACAATAGCCATTTCTGTAAGACCACTCCACTGAAATACTGCCCCATCAAAATATAACATTAATGACAGTGGTTTTGTACTCAGTCAAGCAATAAGATATGCAACTTCATTCTCAATATAATGCTACAACATGCTTTGAACTGAAACTTTCAAAGTTTTTATCAGCCCCACTGTGTTAATGCTGGAATAGTACAATAATTTAGGCTGTGAACATTTATAGGCATTCTGGTTTATCCATAATTATCTTCTTCACAGGCATTGCTACAAACGTTCACTTAAAATTACTGGTTTGCTTATACTGTATTTTACAGTACCTAGTATATGAGCAGTCAGGCAGTGAGTTTATAATCTGAGGCATTGCTTTCTTATTTCATTTAAATCAAACTACAATGCAAGATTTGTAATGAATTATACACTTCACTTTAATTTCTTAAATATCAATTAACATGTGTTAATATCAGGTTGAGTAACTATGCCTTACTTGATTTTCATTGCACAGTAATCCTAAGTCACTGCAACTTTCTTTCAGAGCTGCTGTGAGCTCCTCATAACCAGAACTAGTGAACTGAACACCAGGAAAAACATCATGAACCAGAGAATCAAAGCGAGCACAATCAGCAAATGTCAGCTTGGA